CATTGAGCAGCTTCCTTAGATTCAAAGACAGGTTGTTTCTGCAGCTGAGCTGTTGTTGAACATCCACAGCCCATGTTTGCTGTCCTTGTGTATAAAATGGATATTAAATTATAAAGAAGCCTTGCTGGGTTTATCTCTGCGGTCCTAGAATTTGATGTTGCTTTGACTTTTATAGGCTGGCTGTTAGAGAGTGTGGATGAGGGAGGGATCTTTGTTTTTATCACAGACCGATGGTCATTTCTGAGGAAATGATTCACATTTCCCTGAGCTCCAACCCCCGTTCCCTTAACAAAATAAATAGGCAAAATCCGTCTTTCATCATGCATGGGAGAAGAAGAACATATATCACAGAAAATTTACAATAAAAATCATGATTTAGGAAGTAAAAAACATCATAACACAAACACAAAACATTAAAAAGTAATCCTGATATTATATGGTTTTTGAAGTCTTGATGAATAGAAAAGAGAAATCAAGCATAGAAGATTTAATAGAAGGTCAAAATGATGGTCAGACTTCAGACTGAGCTGGAATCCAATGAGAAGAGACCACTAAGTGCACTAACTCAGAAAAGTCCTCAGTTACTTAAGTTATGATACCAAAGTAGTAAATATTTAAATACTAAAGCAGTACCTCTTTGGTGTCTTTTACCCCCAAAAATAAATCACCTATAAAATATAATACCAATAGAATAAATAAATAAATTAGAGCTGTGCACACTTTGCATTTAAGGGAGCTTGAAGATGGAGTCTCTTTCCTTATCAGGGATTCTGCAGATGTGTTCTGGAGAAGGAGGCATTTAAAGTTGTTTTTCATGGATGTGATCCTGTATTCTCACAATAATAATGGATTGGGTTTATATAGCGCTTTTCAAGGCACCCAAAGCGCTTTACAATGCCACTATTCATTCACTCTCACCAGAGGTGGGACCAAGTCATTGTTTTGCAAGTCTCAAGTAAGTCTCAAGTCTTTATCCTCAAGTCTCAAGTCAAGTCTCAAGTAATGTCAGGCAAGTCAGAGTCGAGTCTCAAGTCACTGGTGTAAAAGTCCAAGTAAAGTCACAAGTCTGAAACTTTGAATTTCAAGTCCTTTCGAATCTTTAAAAAAAATATGAAAAAAGCATGTTGCAGTTATATGCTAAATGTAAATATTAGACCATGTAATTTTAAAATCTGTGTTTTTCTCAACACGTGACAAAATAGTGAACTTAGAAAATATACACAAATTGTGAAACTGCACCTCTTTAAAATGCAGCTCAATTAAACCTAGCTCCAAGAATAATTTTCACCGACAGTTCTGAGATAAGCTGCATGTTATTTTGGATGCGGTTGTAGGACCGGTGTTGTGCCAAAAAGTGATTGTCTGCCAAAAAGTGATTTCCAGTGTTTCTGTGTATTTTTTATGTGTAATATCTTTACGTATGTTCGTAAATAGACTTCGGTGAACAGGGTTTACAAAGGGGTTATATAGAGAATTAAAACAATATCTGTTTTTCAAGTATCTTTACAACTCTCTGCTATTGTACTTACATTATAACCAATCCGGTCCTTTATCCCCACTTAAAATATTTTTACAGAAATATTGTAATATTTGCTGCCATTTCTGCTGTCCTCTTGGCCAACTTACTCTTACAAAAGACATTTTTAATGTTAATGAGATTTTTTTAACTGCATAAATAAAGGTTATATAAAAGTCACTGCCAAAAACTGATTGCGGCTTCTACCTTGTTACACGAATGTTGTTTGTGGCTCAAGATGACTTTATGTCATCCATGAGGGATGCATTTGACATATGTTTCACATATTATAGCCCAACAAGTTACTTATAGCAGTTTAAATATGAGCAATCGCTTTTTGGCAAATACCGGAAATCAGTTTTTGGCAGACAATCACTTTTTGGCACAACACCGGCTTTAAAATCGCATGACAAAAATATCATACACATTAAAAAAAACTGTATCACCAACGTAGCCTGGACAACATTTGCTAGTTAGATGAAGTCAGCTATCTCATCTTAGCATATTTATATGCATATTTATAATCATACGGTTCTTGGAGTGAGTGCATACACTCGTGAAGTTTAGTAACTTCAGGTCACTGCAACAAGCCCAGGTACAGTTTACCGACGGATGGGTGCAGGACCTTGAAATGTACCGTGTAGAACGAAAGACCATCGTACGTATCATAAGTTTACCAGTCTCACAAATCGTCTTCATAAATACACATTCGTTAACCGTTTATTAATAGGACCTTTGAGCTCAACGGTAATTAATTAGCAGTGGAAATAATTTCTGGTAGCATCACAGAAATGTAGCAGTGACAATAATACTGTATGCTGTAATCGTACTGGGCAATTAGTGATACAAAAAACCTGTTTTATCCTGTGAATAAAAGTATATGTTTTTGTCAATGTACCATAATAACAGAAGCGAAACACAATATTGTGTCAGGACAATTCACTATTTATGCACAATAAATAAAGGAGCATAGCGCGATCATTTCTGTTCAGGGCCAGACTTGCTTGTAACCTATATCACCAATTATGTTAAGAAAATGACGTATTAAGTACTAAAAGACACTGACCTTTGTGTAAATGCTTGGAGCAGACTAACCTGTGAGCTGGAGGGTTCTGGGACGTTATATTTGATCTTTGAATGGCTGCAATCCAGGCCATCCGTCGCGTCTTTGTTACTTCGGAAACATGGCTCGAACAATTTCTCTTCAACGACGTAATCCGATAACAACCGATCTCTTTACCCGTCGGCTTCCCGTGGCTGTCATGCGACCGGCTATTGCAGTTAATAATACAACGGCTTCTTGACATTTTTGTGTTTCTTTTTATCGCTGTGTGACTGATTTCAATTGAAAGCCTGCGTGCGCTAGTACCGCTTGCCACGAGTTCCCAGAATCCTTTGCGGTTCTACCCGTGAATGACGTCACATTTTCAATCTCTATATAATATGCATGTTAAATTTTATATTTGGGGTAAAATATCAAGTCTTTTCAAGTAAACCGGTTCAAGTCCAATTCAAGTCCCAAGTCATTGGTGTAAAAGTCCAAGTCAAGTCACAAGTCTTAGAACATTTTTTCAAGTCAAGTCTAAAGTCATAAAATTAATGACTCGAGTCTGACTCGAGTCCAAGTCATGTGACTCGAGTCCACACCTCTGACTCTCACATTCACTCACTGGTGGAGGCAAGCTACGGTTGTAGCCACAGCTGCCCTGGGGCAGACTGACAGAAGCGAGGCTGCCATATCGCGCCATCGGCCCTCTGGCCAACACCAGTAGGCGGTAGGGTAAAGTGTCTTGCCCAAGGACACAACGACCAGGACAGAGAGCCCGGGGATCGAACCGGCGACTTTCCAGTTACAGATACGCTTCCCAACCCCCTGAGCCACGGTCGCCCCCACAATGGGTAACTGGGCGGGATTAATGACAGTGAGAGCTAGAGAATGTGACTCTTGGCTGGTCTTCAGGTTTCATTGGAAGCAGTCTGAATATGAAATGCTGTAATGCGACTCTGTAGGTCAGTCAGTCCCTGTCTGCCTTTAAACAGTCTTAAATTTGAGCCGATGGTATCCTCCACCCAAAAAATTAACCAGTTTCTTCTGTATTTCCTGCACCAGTGGATGTGGAGACTCAACAACCAGAAAATGATGCCAGAGCATCGAGGTAACCAGATTATTCTCAACCAGGTATCTCCTCCTATAGCAGAGCTGTGGCTGGATTCATGTCCATCAAGACAGTCAGGCACTAATTCTCTCCACTACACCTTCCCAGTTTTTCAACTGGAAATCATCATTGCCAAGCATCTGTGTGGTTCTCAGTCATCCAGGTCATGGTAATCTAATCTAAATTTATCATTTGTCATGAGTCAACAATACAAGTCAGCTGATTAGGATGTGTGTATAATTACATATTTTTTGCTACATTCCCAAGTACTTGAGTAACAAAATAGCTGATTTTCCCAGTGGAGGCTCCCTCCCTCAACATTCCTTATTTATAACCGTTTTGTACTAGTATGATCTGGATTACTCCTTTGCACTGCGAAAATTGTACGAGTTGCTCTCTCGTAGCAGTAATCTTCTGACCCTTTTCTAAGCAGTCCTCCATTTTCAGAGGTTCAGAGATAATGGGAAAAACTATATAACTGCACAGTAGCACTCTGAAGCACCTGCCAATCAGTTTTCCAGCATTAACTGAATCTAAGCAGAGGGTATATCACTGGAAATTTGAGAATTTACCCTGCTACTTCTATAAGCAGTTACATTATTAAACAATGCTACTATTACTCAGTCATATATGATCATACCATGTAGTGGCTCCACTTTGTTTTACAGATATGGCAGTATCTTTCATGAGCCGGTTCTCTTCTTCTCCACTGTTCATTTCTCATATGTCAAGCAATTTCAGACTTTTGCATATAAAATTTGCATTTATGGTCATGTTATAAAACAGCTTTGATTTTTAAAAGCAAGACTGTGAGCTACATTCCTAAGTACTTCAGTAACAAAATATCTGATTCTCCCGGTGGACGCGCCTTCATAATCCCTCTTTCGTAACCTGCAGGTCTGTACTCCATGATCGGGTTTACTGCTCGGCTCTGCAAAGGCTACAGGAGTCTCTCCGACTTTTTCACAGATTAGAGCGGGAATCCTGTGAACCCTGATTTTCTTTTATAAATTTCTTTATTGACTCCTATATATTTTTTTCATTATTCACAGTTTTATTTTATTTGCAGTGTCCAGGTTGCTGTTGTTACTGTAACAACAAATAATATCAATAATATTATTATCTGTGATCTACTTTAATGTGTTATGCAAAGCACGTTTAAACCTTTTGCTTGTTTTATATTGTTTTAACCTTAAATTCACTACAGTTATTTGTTTATTAAAATATTCATTGTGGATGTTGAACTCACAGTTTGGAGTTGGTGGGAAATAAATGAGCAAACGAACAGATAGTTTTACAATAAAACAGCATATGTTAACTATTTTTATTATTTTCTGCAATAAAATCAAATGCATTCACAACCATTAATATGATATTTGCAACATTAGGTATGTTTTCTTCAAGGAGTGAATAACTAGATTGAAACTTTTATTTAAATTGAGCATCCATGTTTAATACTCACTGAAAACAGGAGAAACTGTTTTCTGTTTCCTTCAATTTATTAAAGTATTTTTTAAAGTGTTAATCCTACAAGCTTCTCAGTTTTCTTATTCATTTTTCATGCAACAAGCAAATAAAGATTTTTACATACAAAGCAACACTTACTGCTTTAAGTCGTGCACATATACATATGAATCTTTTCATCTACACACCTGAATAAAAATTATTCTTTTTATATTTTTCTTTTCTTTACTTCAGTTTATTTCTTGGTGATGTCTTTATAGCTAAAGACAACAGAGGCTATCTGCTCATGTATTTCCTGCTGCCCACACTCAAACAGACATGCAAACCAGCCATCATCAATGTAAGCCAGGTCTGAGTAACCTCTGGGTCCCTCATTAATGATGCAGGGTTCGCTCCATGCCTTTGGATCACGTGGGGATTTGTTCAGATACACACCTAACTTGACCCTGTGTTTCGGACTGGTTGGGTGCGTGAACAGCAGCCACTTTTCAAGGTTCTGGCTTGGGTCACTTTCTGTGTTTTCACTTTCTTGTTGAGCTGGGAAGGAGATCACGCTTCCGTGACAGCCTGAACCTGTTTCCATAAGCTTGTTTTCAGGTTGAGGAATGGTAAAGCTATGTCCATTATCATCACTGACTGCTTCCACTCGATGGCCGCCCACATTACGGGCGTTGCAGTAGATGTGGTCTTTGGAAAGTTCAGCCATTTCACACTCAACTGATACCACTGATTCCTCATTAAATTTCCGTATGAAATCCCCAAATTTCCAGTTTTCACCATGACTATCACTATACAGTGAGATTGCATATGGTTTACTTGGTTTGATCGCAGTATAAGCATAAACTGGGATAATCAGTCTACCACTCTCTGTTTGAATACCATGGCCTGGCCCAACAGCAAATGTGGCCCAGTTTTTTATTTCACTTAGTTCGTCCGTCAAATTGGTCACGTCGCTCCAGGTTTCTCCGAGATCCTCACTTGTGATGAAGCAGAGACGGGTCCGGTTGTCACATTTTTTTATTTGGTGAAGCTCAGTGATGCCGTCTTCAACACAGATGAAAAACAGGAAAAGTTTCTTGTTGACCTTGTCATACACCGGGCAGGGGTTCATTGGACGGTGTCCATCAATAAGTGCCTTTTCCACCTCTTTGAGTTCTAACCACTAAAAGAGAGATTGTTCAGGAGTAAATAAAACAGAACAGTTCAAAACAGGACTGTAATTAACAAGTAATTTAGAACTGAAATGGCTGATTATCACTATTACCTCAGTCGTCCTCTGACAGCATTTCTGCTTGATCTTTCCTGTTCTCATAACCAGCTTTTCTCCGCTGGCATCATCTGAAGTCTTCCTCTGCTCTGCAAAGGCAAGTAAAGTTTTACTTTTTTCCTCATACAGAAGAGCAGGGATCCTGTAAACACATTGAGCAGCTTCCTTAGATTCAAAGACAGGTTGTTTCTGCAGCTGAGCTGTTGTTGAACATCCACAGCCCATGTTTGCTTTCCTTGTGTATAAAATGGATATTAAATTATAAAGAAGCCTTGCTGGGTTTATCTCTGCGGTCCTAGAATTTGATGTTGCTTTGACTTTTATAGGCTGGCTTTTAGAGAGTGTGGATGAGGGAGGGATCTTTGTTTTTATCACAGATCGATGGTCATTTCTGAGGAAATGATTCACATTTCATTGAACTCCACCCCTCATTCCCTTAACAAATTAAATAGGCAAAACCCGTCTTTTATCATGCATGTCAGGAAAACAACCAGAATGAAAACCTTTAATAGCTGTTATGTCTGAATTTTATTATTTTGTACATACAGCGGTATAAAAAACAATGTTTGCCCCCTTCCTGATTTCCATATTTGTCACACTTAAATGTTTCTGATCAAACAAATTTAAATATTAAAAAAAGATAACACAAATATAGATAAAATGTATTCTCTGGATGAATGTATTTATTATAAAGGGAAAAGAAATCCAAACTACATGGCTGTGTGTAAAAAAGTGATTGCCCTCTAAACCTGGGCCACCCTTAGCAGCAACAACTGCAATCAAACTTTATTGATAATTAACAATGAGTCTTTCACAGTGCTGAGGAGGATTTTTTGGCCCACTCATCATTGCATAATTGTTGCAATTCAGCCACGTTGAAGGTTTTCAACCATGAACCACCTTTTTAAGGTCATTCCACAGCATGTTAATCAGATTCAGACCAGGACATTGATGAGGCTGCTCCAGTCCTCACTTTCGTACTCTTAAGCCATTATGAGGTGGAATTACTGATGTGCATGATGATGAGATAGCCTTTATTTGTCAGTTGCAGGTCTTTTACCCACAACCGAGATGACAGACCTTGCCGACCGTACATACAATACACAAACATCACATTGGGGAGACAGGTCAGGCTAGGTAGCGAGGAAAAAAAACATCGAAATGTGCAACACAAAAGGATAATACAGGAATGCACAGGTATCAACACACCATAACACAATAAACACAGACAAGTGTAGCACTTGGTAAAGTGTTAAGCTAAAATATGTCCAAAACATTCCACGAATCTGTTGGTATTTGTGTTATTCAATTTGCATGTGGACTGTCGGAAACAACTCAGCACTGTTGTAAGCCGATGCTTATCTGGTAAGAGAGTAACATGTGATTCTGTCACCTGAGGTCCAATAGTGCATCGTGAAAGTGATCTTAGAGCACTGCTAAACCCTATGCCGACTTACGTCATCTCTACATTGTCACAAGGAAGAGAGAAGTATATTTGTTTATTTCTGTTTCTTATTGTCATGTTTTCTCAATGTTGGGACAACATTTATTTAGCAGGGGAGGAATGTAGCACTTGGTAAAGTGTAAAGCTAAAATATGTCCAAAACATTGCACGAATCTGTTGGTATTTGTGTTATTCAACTATATGTTTGGATTTTTGGCTGCTACATGTTTTTCCACCAGTAGGGGGCAGTCACGGAAAAAGAAAAACTATGTAAAAAAAAAAAAAAAGAAAAGAAGAAAAGAGAGAAGAGTGTATTCTTGGGCTCTGTATGTGAAAGCCACGGTTCTGAAGTACCCCAAATAAACTCGGTTCTGCTGTTTACACCAAGTTGTCCTGGAGTGGTGTAACATTTTGGAGGTTCCACCGAGATAGTTTTGGGACTACTTCACACAGAGGAACACGGTAAAGGAGCTAATGCTAACGGATTGCGACAGTCTAGCTAATGCCATGCAAACTGTTTTTTCTCCGGTCGGATACACTGAGAGAGTTTTATTCGTCTTAGTTATCTTTCAAGCATGTCTGTGAACCGTGAAGATTTTTTGTTGGAATTGGAGCAGAAGTTATGTGGATTTTCTTTGGAAGAACTGCTCAGAGTATGTGAACTATGTAATATTACAGAAAAGGGCAGCGAAGAAATACAAAGCAAATCCCGCAGAGCTCTCGTTAAGCTTATTAGCCAGTTTTGTGAACGAGAAGAGTTTTTACAGCGAGAGGATGAAGGCATGTCGGTGCTTCTGGAGCTAAATGATGTGCTGGTTTTGCTGGTGGAGGCGCGGTCAGCGGCTGTCGGCGCAGGAGCGGTGGTCCGGTCTTCATCTTCAGACAGAGCGGAGATGACGGTGGAGGCTGTGCACGAGGAGCAACTGGCAGCGGCGCAGGCACCTCCGGAGCGGCGGACAGGGCCGATGACATCGCTGGAGCATCAGGCGGCTCAAGGGACATCAGCGGAGCAGCAGGTGGCCATGAGGACGTCGCTGGACGGCGAAACACAGCGCAGGGGGAGAGACTGTATTGGCAACAGCTGCTGTAATGTTTCATCAGGTGGATTCAGAAAAGACTTCAGTATAAGTGGACATGTGGGTGAGTCGACAGCTAAAGACACGCTGAGTTTCAGTAGCTTAGAGCACCAGATGGAAAGCGGCTTAAAAACGGGCTACTCTGAAGCTGAGATTGTGGAGGCTGTCATACGTGCCATCATTCCTGGGTTAAAACTAAGGAGCTATTCGGAAGGGAAAGAAGATCTCACATTGACCAGCCTGAGACAAGTTCTAAAAGCCCATTATGCAGAAACGGATGCAACAGTACTGTACCAGCAATTAACCAAAGCTACACAGGGGGCAAATGAAACACCACTTGAGTTCCTGATTAGAGTGCTGGATTTGCGTCAAAAAATCCTTTTCGCATCTGAGCGCACCCAGTCTAGCCTAAAGTATAACAAAGAACTTGTTCAAAGTCAATGTTTTCAGTCCATTAGAACGGGTCTTCTAAATGACAATGTCAGAGCAGAAATGAGAGCATATTTGCAGGATGAAAACTGTAGCGATGAACTCTTATTAATGAAAATGCAAACAGCCCAGTACAATGAAAGCGAGAGAGCGTTAAAGGCAAAAGCCCACAGGTCATTTAGAACAGGACTAAATGTAGTTGAGCAGAATGTAGCGCTTACTGATCCCCGCACAAGCCAGCCTGACACAAAACCGGCTAAAACCCTCAAAGATAACTCCTTATTTGCAAAAATTGAGGAAAGTAACTCAGCAATCAGGGAACTCACAGGACAGGTAGCTTCACTAGTGCAAACTGTCCAACGACATAGAAGTGGTGATGGTGATAGACAAGTCAGGGCATACAGAAAGGCAGCTCAGAGACCAAAAAGGCGATGCTCTGCATGTCAACAAGAAAACAGGGACTGTGACCATTGTTTCAAATGTGGCAGTGACTCTCACTGGGCAAAGGGATGCAAAGTAAGGGGAGCTCAGAAGCAGGAAAACTGGGCGGGGCTGTGACTGCGGGACAAGCCACAGCTTCAGCACCAATGTCCCAATGTGATAACATTCCCAAGGCCCAAAGCTTATCCCTTGCACCACCAACTGACTCAGGAAATCCTAAAAAAGGAACCAACCCCCAAACGTGTTCTATTTAAGTACCAAAAAAAGAAAAGTAGCACAGCTTGTGGGCAGAAAGTGTCTAGTATGGTGTAGAATGAATAACTGCAAAACACAGGCACTGTGGGACACGGGAGCCCAAGTTTCAATAATGAGTGCATGCTGGAAATCAGACAATTTACCTCACTTAGAAGTTCACCCCATCAGCGATTTACTAAGTAAGGATGAACTTTTAGACTTGAGAGCTGTAAATGGATCTGAAGTCCCTTTCCAGGGTTGGGTAGAAGTTAGCCTTAGCCTTTGTGATTCGAGAGGAAAAGCTGCAGCTCAGAATGAGGTTCGGGTTCCAATCCTAGTAAGTCAGGATGTGATGCAAAAACCAATAATAGGGTTTAATGCTATTGAGGAACTGATCAAAAAAGACACTACTCAGTCCAGTGAAAGCTTGTCTCTACTCAGAAACTCTCTAAGAGTAGGATCAAGCAAAGCAGAAGCACTGTTGAACCTTATCCACACCACCAGTAACGAGATAGTTACTTATCCTATCAGATCAGGACGCAAAGCTATTGTCGTACCGGGTGGGCAAATGTACGGCGTTAGTTGTTCCATCAAAACAGACCTAAAGGTAAAAAGTGAAATGCTTTTCGAGCCAGATGAAAACTTGTCTTTAGATGAGGGTCTGAAATCTAACTGCCAGTTGCTGTCTATATCAGACAGCACCCGCAAAGTCAATATCTATGTTACTAATGCTACCAAACATGACATTGTGTTGCCACCTAAAACCCTTCTAGGTAACATAGAGAGGGTAACACATAGTTATCCTGTAAATCTCAAAGAAGCTCAGATAGGCTCGATTGTAGAAAAAGACAATCAGAACTCACCTAGCTTGGCAGAAGAGCCTTGGGAACCACCTGTCAATTTGGGCCACCTTAACACAGAACAACAGGCGGTCGTCATGGAAATGTTAAGGGAGGAGTCAGGCGCATTTGCTAAACACAAAGAGGAAGTTGGTTACATAAGAAATCTAAAAATGGATATCAAACTCACTGATCAGATTCCTGTAGCCAAATCCTATAATGCGGTCCTACGTGCTCTCTACGATGAAGTAAAAAGTCACATTCAGGACTTGTTAAAAAAAGACTTTATTCACAAATCAACCTCACCATATGCCTCTCCAATAGTGTGTGTGAGAAGGCAGGATGGAGGCCTGAGACTGTGTGTCGATTATAGGGGCCTCAATAAAAAGACCATTCCAGACAGACACCCTATTCCACGAATAGGCGGCAATAGGTGGTTTAGTGTGCATGACCAAGGCAAAGCGTACTATCAAGGTGAAATCAGCGAAGACTCGAAAAAATATACCGCCTTCACAACACCCTGGGGGCTGTACGAATGGAATAGGATCCCATTTGGACTCACCAATGCACCTGCAGCTTTCCAGCGGAGCATGGAGGAAAGTTTGGAAGGCTTGAGGGACAAAATATGCACTCCATATTTAGATGATGTTTTGGTGTACAGTCAAACATTTGAACAGCATATTGAAGATTTGAGATCAGTTCTCAAACGTCAGCGGGCTTGGGGAGTAAAACTAAGACCTGATAAATGTGACTTGTTTAAAAATGAGGTCCGCTATGTGGGCAAAATCATTTCAGCAGACGGCTACAAAATGGATGAGAAAGAGGTACAAGCAGTACGAGCT